GGCCTACCCGAGAATGATCTCAGGGTCGTAGAGCCTACCTAAGAGTCACATTAGGTCCATAAAAATTTTCTAGCTTGATCAGAGCTGTACTTTATAAATCAATATCTCCAAGATATAATTTATACATTGATACAATTCCATAAATCCTTAATCATTGTAATCATATACCAGTGAAAACCAATAATCAGATAGCATTCATAACCATAAGTCATCACCATTAAGTCGGTGCATCCATAAAACAATAACCATAGATTTCAGTGCACCATATGTTAAAACAATAAAACAATTTAGTAATATATAGGGAACACACTAGAGAATCCAAGTCTTTTTCAGAGGCATTTTGTAGTTATCAGTATGGATAACATGAAACTTGTGCAATTTAATCGGATTCCATGAACAAGGTCCTATTGAAGAGAATCAATTACTAACTGATCTAATCAGACATTTAAGATTGATAATTTAGAATCTCACTATGTTTTCATGTGCATCAGGAAAGTGTTCAGGAATGACCTGAGTGATTTGAGCTAGTAAAGGAGAAACGGAGATTCAGGACATTTACAATCTCTGTTGATCGATTGGTTTATCAAATAATTCGAACTGAACAACTCTCAAAACTAATTCATGTAGACCCGTCAATTTATTTCCTTTCCAGGGTATTCACTCTTTAATACCAACAATTCTTGTCCATAAATCATCTTCGTTATCAACGCTGAATAGGTCTTCCAACGGTCTTTATTTCATTTCCACGTTTTAACGATATCAGGAAATACAAAGGTACTTGATTCATGTTTCATGACGCATAAGGACAAATCATTATGTAAGTTCAAAAGTGTTTCCAGACTCATCCAAATCAATTATTTAATCCTCAGTCATTGAGGTTACTTAGTTCATTTAACAATCAAGTCTATCCTGGTTACTTCAGAGTTTTCCAAAGTAATTCAGACATTTTTGAATTTCGGATACATATTGTACTTCCGTTCAGCTCAATTTAGTCATATAATAAATTCATTCTGGTATTTGTGGTTGATTTGTCTCACGAATATCCACTTCTTAGTATCGAATGTGCTCTAGATTTGAGCTGAGCTAAGTACTTCCAGAATTATCATCGATCCAAACTTTAGTAGACAAACACACATTCAAGTGATATCTATGTCATTCAGGTATTGACGTAGTATTAGGGTTGATCTACTCACTTAAATTGTGTTCCAAAACTTTTAAGGGTTGTACAATACCTATGTTTATTTGTATTCCTTAATTAACCCATGACATTTACTTAGTCTAGGCCATAACGACATTTTGGTCATTTTAGTGCTCAATGTTTCCATTTATTTCAAAGCTTGAGGATATCCATTCATTCATGGGCTTGGTGATATTCTTGAGTCATTTCCATTACAGGGGTATTTTGGTCATTTTATAGATCCAGTGTATTTCAATTATTTCCTTCCATATGATCTTATTATTTAATTCAAACGTATCATCTTTTCCAGTTCTTTCGAACAATTCTGACAAAAGAGCACCCTCGATAATTTATTCTTAATTCGGAGATTTTCAGGTCAATTACCTTTTCAGGTCAATTGCCTTTTCAGAAGTTACAAACAGGTTATCCAGATTTTCTAAGCAAAGCTAGTATTTTCTATACACATCAGTAGTTTCATCATATCAATATGTCTTTACAAATTTCTTATCAAACTTCCAGGGTCAGTTCTTGTCTTTTTACAACATAAGGGTATTTTCGTAATTCTACCTAATCAAAGTATTTTCATACTTTATGATCCAAGTACCTTTAATGAGATAAATTATAAATTACATATTCAGTGTCGATTCCTATATCACTTAATCCCATAACTTGTAGCTGAATTCAAACTGTCCTTCAATTTCTTATATTAGTCATATGAGTCATATTCAGTCACCTACTTTTTACTGCATTCATATTGAGCGTAGAAATTAATTATCCAATAATTCCAAACATTTTCATTCATGAATTTACCAATACCAACATGTTCCACAAAGCATGAAAATATAGTAATGTATTGCCTCGATTTTTAAGCCATACAGTTTGACCATTTCAATTCCATTCGAACGCCCTCGATCTTTAATTCAACTTCTAATAATTCCTCAAATACATAACAATAGAAATTTCATCAAAAGAGGAGCATAATTTCAAAAAACGGATCGAATCGGGTGATAAATCAGTGAAAAACAGCTTACCGGGTTCGAATTTGGAAAAACAGACTTCGGAATCGAACTCCGGACGTCGAAAAAAGTTAGGATAGATTTACCATGAAAAAATCAACGGTCGATTAACGGTCCAATCAACGATGGTCAACGGCGGTCAACGGTCAACGTTTAATGGTCGATCAACGGGTCAACGAGTCGGGTCGAGCAGTCGAGTCGGGTCAAACGGGTCAAACTACCCAGCCCTATTTGCGAAGCTCCCCCACGCATAGGGGCGGCGCGTGGGGGAACGTGCGGCGCTAATCGGGTCTGAAAAATTCTCGAAAAATTTACAAAAATATTTTTAAACGATTTTGAGACCCTTACCAAGTTCGGTTCAAAATTTTGAACGGTGGAGAGCTCAATTTCAACACGTTGGAAACTTTGACTTCCTCACCTCCCTCACGAGCAGGCGACGACAGAGATGCGAATAACACCGGTGGACTCGGGAACATTATGATGCGGGAGGTGTCGAAAACGGAGCAACGATCGACGATGCATTGACGATTTTCATGGTGGTGGTGTTAAAAAAAGTTGAAACTTTGAATCGAAATTCATGGCATTTGACAGCGTTTCGCTACGATCAGTTTACGGAGTTTTATTCATCGGTCGATGAAGAACACGATGGTGGTTTCGGATCGACGATCGGCGGCCGGACGACGTCGGGATCGAGCTTGAAAGTAGGGGTGCGGGAGAGGATGTTTTGTTAATTTGATTTCTGCTTTTGCAAACAGAAACCTATTTCACGCACATATTAATGAGTGTATGCCGACACTAAATGGTGAAATTCAGGGCTTGGTCCCTGAACTTCATTCAACTTCTAAAATGATATGCAAAGTTTGAAATTTTATAATTTATTCCTCAATTTCTTTCAAAATATCACTTAAATTCAATACTTTATAATTTCTAAAATTTAGCCCCTAAATTAGGGTGTTACACATTAAAAAATAACGATGATACTGACCTATCACCATAATGTAATGTCATATCATCACTGAAAAACAAAATAAAACTTGTTCTATTAATTTTTAATAGAATAAAAAAAATAAAACTAAAACGTAACGTTAAACAAAATTTAAATAATATATAATTATATAATTAAAATAGAACAAAAATGATAATTAAATACGTTTATTTTTCTTGAAAAATAACCCTCGTCATCATAGTGAGTAGAGGTGCACAAAAAATCCGAATATCCGATTTTGGGTAAAAAATATCCGAAACCGGATCGGATATTTAAAAACCGGATAGTATAACCGGTTTGGGAAAAAATTGAACGATCGGTTTTTTTACCGGATTAAAAACCGGATAAAAAATTTATCCGGATAAAAAACCGGTTTTTTTAAAAAACTGGATTTTTATCCGAAAAAATCCGGTTTTTTTTAAAAACCAGTTTTTTGCAAACCGAAACCGGTTACACCATCCGACCCTCCAAACCGGTTAGGACCCGAACCGTTTTTTTTAAATCCGGTTTTTGGGTTGGGAGAAAAAATCGGATCGGTTTTTATCCGATCCGGATCGGATTGAAATCCGGCTTCTGTGCATCTCTAATAGTGAGGTTTAATTATATTCAAGAGTGTTTCTTTTTCTTTTCTTTTGTGAGATTATGGGAAACAAAAATAAAGTGAATTTCAATGGGAACAAAGTTAAAACTTCCCTTCAAATAGGAGTAGTAGGTTTACATCAAATTAACACTTAAAAATAGTTTTTGAAGGATTTCTATGTCCCCATAACTGAAAATAAGGGTCCGTTTGTTTTACGTAAAATATTTTCCGGAAAACGTTTTTCTCACTTTTCAATATTTGGTTGGAGGAAAACAGATTGATCAATATAAAACATTTTCCTGGTCAATTGAATTTCTTTTTCATTTTCTGGAAAATGACTTACGTTTTAATTTTCCGTAAATCATTTTCCAAACTTTTCACTTAAAAGCATAAATACTCAAAATAATATTTTATAAATTTAATATTAATATGATATTTTAGTATTATTTTAATAAAAATATTAATTATTAACAATTTTAAAATATATTTATTAATATTTTTAATAATATAATATAATAATAATATTATTATTACAATAATATACTCAATTATATTATAATAATATACGATACAATTATATTCTTATTTTAATAATATATAATAAATAAAAATATTATTTCTTAAAAATAATATTATTGAATTATTAATAGTGAATATTTTATTTATGTATTTAATATTAATATAATAGTCTAATAATATTATAAAAATTCTTTAAAATATATTTATTAATAATTTTAAAATATCACATTATTTTTTTTTATTTTTATAGATATTCAATATAATTTATCACATTTTTATTTTAATAGAATATACTAGAATTAATATTTTTATTTATAAAATTATAGAAATACTATTTTAATAATAATATTGGCATAAATAGTATTAAATAAATTATTCTAATATTTTTAAAAAATAATATTAAGTTTTTATAATAAATAATATTATTTATTATATTTTATATTTGCAATAAATAATTTATAAAAAAAAGTATCAATTAGTGAAAAATAATTTACATATCTTCCTAACACCAAAAAAATTTTTTCAAAAAATATTTTCCAAAAATATAATTCATTTTACGTAAAACATTTTCTATAAAACATTTTCAGTAAAACAAACGAACCACTAGACATCTCAGACAAAGGCAGTTAAGTTACTTGCTATTTTGGTACATCAACTAACACGTTATGCCTGAGCTATCATGTGGTAGTACTAAACAAAGAGTTGCAGGGAACCATGGAAACATTTTCAAACAACAGGGTGTATATTGAACAAACTAGGTCGAGCCAATGGGTTCGGGTTGTAAATGATTGGAGCTTTGCTCATGCTCTCTGGTTTATGTCTAAGACAACATAACTGATGCCTCAACTTCTCTGCTAGTTTACATTATTCATGACCACTGTCAGCCTTATCATCATTTTTCCAAGGAAATATATAGTTTATGACCTGCATCATTTTGGATTTGTCTTAAATCCAATTCAAAATGATATTTGCGTGACCCTTTTCCATGCAGCATAAAATGTGATTTTCAGGCGAAGCTTACAGTTGTCGAGGTACAGGTGGTGTTGACCGAGGGTTTTTCCCATAAAACCCAATACCAGGTGGCCGGTAAAACCCTATTGTGGTTGGCTGCTGCTGAGGCTGAGATTGTGGCTGTTGCCGAGGCCGAGACTGTGGCGGCTGTAGTGGCTGAGAAGCAGGTCTAGCTAAATTCAATACTATATGTGGGGGAAGAGGAGGTGGTGGTGGCAGTGTGTTTGCTCCATATCCGTAAGGCATTACCCCTATCATCATACCTGTTGACTGCATATATCGACTTCCTGAAGGATTTGCAGGAGAGAGCGAGGGAGGCGGAGCAGAGGCAAAGGAAGCTTGAATCTGGTTGCCTTGAGACATTGGTTGCATACCAGTCGATGGTGCAAGTGGCATGTTGTTAATTGGCTGCTGCTGCAGGGGGTTAAAGTAAGTTGTTCTGGGGATGTCTGAATTGCTTGGATCTGACACAGGCATTGGTTTTTCAAGTTTGGGACGCTTTTCAAGAGGAAACATTGATAACCCCGATGCGAACCCACCGGAATTTAAGCTACCATTCATAGAGGCAGTTTCTTCTGCAACAAGGGACGAAAGTACAGATGTAAGCATCTGAGCAGAAGAAGTTGAAGCAGCGAGCTTGGCAGCAACAGCAGCCGCTGCAGATTTCTTGTTATCTTCTTCAGTCAGTTCTGACGGTGCTAAGGAAATCACAGGCTGCTGAAGATGAGGCTGAGGTGGAGTGCCAGATGGCGGAGCTGAAGGAAGGTTCTGTTCGCCTACAGATACAGCCTCAACTGTAGGAATAATAGATAAATGGCCATGCAAAGTGGGTAAACTCAGCCTGTTCCTTAAATTGTTTCCTTGCTCAATCTGACCACGAGCAACCTGCATACATAATCACTTTCACTTAATTTGAAAAAATAGAAAATGTTGTACAAGTTGCATTTATATCCGAAATCGTTAAGGGTAGGGTTTTAAATAGCGGTTTGCGACCGTGATAACACCCGCAAAAAAGCGGTAGCGGCTCCCTCCGTGATACCTGCTATACCTGCAATAGCGCCCGCTATGACCGCAATCGCGGTAAACGCTATGCGACCGCGACCGCGATTTAAATCCATGGGTAAGGGACCCTCCTAGGCAGGCCTATCTAGATCCTGTAATTTAGCATCAAATACTGATAGCAAATTCGAGACTTTTGGATGATGCACATTTGATCAGACACACGCCTGAACACTTAAATATGCTATTTTGTAGGGCAATAGGTGCAAGTGAAAAAAGATTGAGTTTCCTTTTAACTTCTTTATTTTTTTTTTCAATATACCTTTAAAAAGGATAACATCAAATTTTCTATTTCTAAATGTTTGAATATTCCAAATAAAACATGGTACTTGGTTTTAGTTAAATTTATTAACCCAAACTACAAGTTTTATTCCGGTCTAGCTATACAGAAAATGTATCCCAGTTGTTTGTGATTCGCTCCAACAGTAGCAAATAAGTCGAATTGCAAAGAATTTTCTTCTTAGAAGATCTAAACAAATCTATACATTTAAAATCTTGCTTGATGCAAATTATCAGCTCAAGCAATTTGTTAGTAAAAATGCAATTCTTACCTGCAGCTGACTACGAATAAGCACCAACTTTGATTCCTGAAAAACTTTAAATAATTGAGTACTAAACAAGGGACAAATGATTTCAAGCTATAATTTCCAACTCATGAAGACATGATAGTGACGAAAGCATACTTGTTCCTCAAGTGCTTCTTTAAGGTGATAAATCAAAGTAGCCCTGGTTGTTTCAATGTTTTCAAGTTGTTCAACATATTGCTGGAGAGCATTTTCTTGCTGCTGTAGCTCAACTACCAAGGCAGATCCATTCTGATTTCCTAACCAAAATCAAACACATGCACTTCGTGTTGTTACAAAAGCACACAATAATTCAAAACTTAAGGCAAGATTGTACTAACATCAAACTTCAGGTTACCAAGAAATAAATAATCAGCAGTTTACAACCTCAACCAAGAGATGCCCAATTAAATTATTTTTGCAAGAAAACACATATGACAATTCCTAAGTAAAAGGTTCAAATATATGTTCTCGTTCATCACTATTAAATCAAAAAAATGATTAGGGGACTCATCTGGATCAAATGCACTAGATCTGTAATACATTCAAAACATATTAGAACACAATAATTGTACTTAATTTGTAGAGGAGAAAATTAATCAGCAGATGCACCAATAGTCAATAGAACAACTCTTATGCATCAAACTTCGTTTATCCCTTCAATGCAGTCTCAAACGTGTTGATCTTATCTCATTAAAGATTTGAACTATTAATATTTTAGAAAACAGATCAGCACCAGAGTCCTCAATTATGCATCCAAAATCAAGTCCATAATTCCTCAGGGATTTTTTTTTTGTGCATTGGTGGACTGGATTGGATCAATCAGGAGTATTATGCATTACATTCTCAACTAAGGCAACAATAAACAAGCATAATTGCAGAGAAAAATCAAAGGCCAATAACCTTATAAAGCTAATTAAATGACTCTTGAAATACTTACGTCTAATTACTTAGGATGGCTTCTATGAAAAAAAAAAACTACGTAGGATGGATTCTTATGATGTTCCATTCTCATGATTGTTACATAAAACCAGGCAGCAACAAAATGAACTCCCACATCCAGTAAATCACAATCAACAAGGAGACCATGTATTAAAATCTAAAGAACCTAACTAATAGCAACTGCTTATGAGTGAGGTCAAGTATCACCACTAAAAGCCTTAAGAGACCTTAATTGATTTACATAGACTGGCACTATAAACAGGAAAACTTTTGCCCACTGGGATGATAGAAGAAGTTAAGCAAGATGAATTACACACACATATAGATGAGAGAGAGAGAGAGAGAGAGAGAGAGAGAGGCACAGAAATTGTGTTCCTAGGATTTTACTTTTGGCCAATAGATAGGTCTTACTAAATTGCATGTGTTTCAGTTCTAATATTTGGAGCTAACATGAAATAACTTAAAATGAACTCAAAGAGAACAAAACATGAAGTATCCTCTTGCTAGAATGATTTATGACTGATTGTCAATCGTAGTTTGAATGCCTAGCAAAACTAGGATTTCACCCTACCAAGAGACCTTTGTTCCAGAATTAAGAATCCCAGGTACTTGTGAGATTTCAATCTTCATACATCTAAAATCAAGAATTTGACACATGTAGATTTGTAACAACTTCAGATTTTCTTCTAGTTCTAACAGCTTCAGTATTATTTTTACAATAGTGAAAAAATCTTTGTAAAATTACATTTAAAAAAACATATACAAAGAGAGGAGGAGAAAGAGTATTTTTCTTTTTATTGGTAAATAAAATCTTAATAAAATGTAAGCATACATGAAATCTCATAGCAGAACTCATACCTTGAGTTAAACTACTTTCAACATTTTCCCCAAGATTACCCAAATTTTGTACAGCAGCATTACACTTGTTTAGAACAGTATCCTCATTTGGATTGTCCTCAAGAACAGATTGGTATGCAGTTAGTATCTTTTCTGGAAGGCCTCCAACAGCCAATTTCTGATGGTGAGAAGATTAAGAAAGAGAAACATATAAAAAATTGCAAAAGAAAAGACCAAGAAAAAATCTTAAGTTATAAGAAATACAAACAAAATGGCTAGAATCAAATTAATAGATCAAACTACAAAGGAGAACTGAATAGGTAAACTTACAATTCTTACTGCATGTGTATCCCTCTTCACTATCTTGATAGGATTTGAGCCTTTTCCATTGTACACGGAAGCAGCAGGAGAAGGAGAAGGAGCAGGATTCTTTCCGAGCATTTCATCTTTAAGATTCTGTCCTTGAGAACCAAAAACTTTTCTTTCTTCCCATATGTCAACCTAACAATTACCATGCAAACAAACCATCAAACCGATCACCCCATAAGGAAAAGTGGAAACCCAAAACAATAAAGGAAGAAAAGGGGAAAAAACTGTTACCTGGTAGGTATACAGTAAAAAATATATAACAAAACAACATAAACCATTACAACATTCTTTCAGCAAACAAAGGATAATCCACTAAAAATACTAGGATATACCATCCTAACTACAAAATTGATGGGGCCAAATACTAAATAAAGCACTAGAACTTTATCTAGCTTCCTAAATAAGCCACTATTCTTCTCTTCTATCCAGAGAAAGCTCCTAATCTATAACTCATATCCAGGTTGACCCTTACCACTAAAAAATGTCACATGTATGACCTGACATTAATGCCATGGCCATCTATCATTTTTACAGACAGAGATGCCAATACAACTTTTTTTGTTTTTGACAATGGAAAATTGAGAAATTTTCTATCTGAGCCATGGTCTTTATTATAATCAATGAATTCCAAAAAATCAGAAAAGCATTTTATCTGTTACAAAAAGAAAGGTGTCAGCATGCATAGGACGTAATATGGTTGCGAGATGTGACATCTTTTGGTTCTCAGGGTGCTTTTGGCCGAGGAATTTTAATATTCCTGAGATTTTTCAAATGATAAGGGCTACCCCATCAATGAACATAGTGCAGCAATCAAAAGCAATAAGGTTGAACAAACGATTAGGAAAGAAGATGGAACTTCAGAAAACTTATTAAAACCACTAGCTTCTTCCTATTAATTCAAGAAAATAATAAGAATGATCCTGTTGACTGTAAAGCCCACAATTCATTCAAATAGGATTGCTTTCTTGCAAGCAAAGTTTCAACCCTGACCCTAGATTTTTTTTTTGGGAATAAGAATGGAAGACCTCATTAAAAAACCCCTTCATATCTGCCGAAATACAAAAGGGCATCCCAACGAACATTAGAAGGAGGAAAAGAGTACCTCAAATTTTATTATTAAACCACAACAGTCACGGAGAGTACATAGAGCATAGCTAGGAAAAGACCCCCAACCAAGAAACAAAACCACCTAAAGACAAAACAAACAAAAACAGAAAACTAAGCATATAGTTAACCAATTCCTAATTTCGCTAGCTTATCCGCCTCCTAGTTTGCACATCTCTGGATGTGCCTCACAATTACATTTTGATCCAAAACAATAGCCACAATTTACTTCACTTGTGATTCAAACAGGGTTGTACAGGAGCCAGGATTATTAATCCAATCCACAACATTAGAACAATCACTCTCCAAAATCAAACGCCCCATTGAATCCCAAACAGGCTCCATGAAGGATAGTAAACTAGCTTTAACTGCCCTCAACTCAGCTAGGATAAGAGGACTAGGCCCTACAGGTTTAGGTTTAGAGAAGGACCCCAGTAGAAGACCATCCGATTCTCGAAGTAAGCCTCCAATACCGCCTCTTTGCCAATCCTTATTCAACGCACCATCAACATTTACTTTGTAAAATCCCGGGGGTGGAAGATTCCAAAAGGGGGTAGAAGAGATTAACTTTCTGTAACTCAAACAAGAATCAACCAACCAAGGATCCCCCACCATGATGTCAAATGGGATAGAATTATTAGATAACTTTGTAGAAAACCACGCTGCCAATCTATATCTAGTGAGGAAAAAAAGATGAGTTGGATCCAACTTCCCATTCTCAAAAATTAAAGCATTCCTACACTTCCAAACTGAACACAATATCGCCCTAGGAATAGAGATCAAATATGAGAGCGGGAGACTAAATCCAACCAAGAAGCTAAGAGGGTAGTAGGATTATCAGGAAAGGCAAAAGACACATTCCAAAGACGCAGGAACTGAACCCACAAATCCCATGCAACTCTACAAGACACAAATAAATGAGAAACAATCTCCGATCCCGAACCACAGAACGGACAAAGATTATCCACAATCTCAGTTACACCACGTTTAAGGAGCTCGGTTTTTATCGCCAACTTCTTATGGAAAACCTGCCAGACAAAGGACTCGACTCGAGGTGGGACAACCCCAATCCACACATGCTTAGTCCAAGAAGGATTATCTTCAATCAAACCGTTCATTAAGCTGATACATGACTTAACCGAGTAGGAGCCTTTCCCATTCCCAGTTCAAACATAGCAATTATCCTCAAACGTCCCAAAAGAGAAGTTACATAGCAAAGAATTAAGCTCTAACCACTGCTCCAATTCCCAATCACTAAGGTTCCTCCTCATTTGGATATCCTAGCACCAAACCGAAGAGTTAAGGCTTCTAAACTCAGCGATTTTTCCTCCTTTAATAACAGAAAGAGCAAATAATCTCGGGAACTGAGATTTAAGGGAGCGAATAATCATGTAACTTAACATGATGGCGAAAGCATAACCGAAATCATCATTTATCACACAATTATTCAGCGCACCTTTCCATAGCAAGGAGGCTCGAGGGGAAAACGAATTTTCCACCAAGATAGACCTAGGATCTAGATTATATTTGCTGCAAACAACCATTTTACACCACGAATCTTTCTCGCTAGCAAATTTACAAGTCCATTTATCCAGGAGGGCTCGATTCATAAGATTCAGGTTAATGATTCCCAAGCCTCCCATATCCTTAGGTTGGCAAACGGTTGACCAACTAACCGAACGTACCCTCCTCCTCTCGACCGAACCTCCCTAAAGAAACTTTGCCATAATATAGTTTAATTTCATCAAAACGCAAGAGGGCATTCTAAAAAGAGACAGGAAGTAAATTGGCAAGGAACTAAGAATCGATTTTACAAGCACCACTCTTCCTGCTAAAGATAGTCCCGTAACGATATCGAATTGTTCTTTGCACCAAGAGGGAGGCCAAGATACTTCGACGAAAAAGCACCTACAAAAAAAAAATACTAAAAAGTTTGCTCTTGGAAAGGTTCAATTGGAGCCTAACCCTAGATTTAAACTCTAAAGATACTTTTTTTGAAAGGTTGGGAATTTTATTAATAACGATAAGCATTATTAGGGGCCTCATTAAAAATCCTCCCTAAACCTATTTGGAGAAAAAAGAGTGCACCCTAGACAATGCCACAATATAAGACCTCGTCTCCTTAAAAAGTTTCTCCCTTAATCCGACATAAATCAGGACCACCTATGCTAAAATCAACCCTTGAATCATCAACATTTCACCCACCTTTATAACCTACTATCCGGATACCCTTTTAATGGCAACCGGAAACATTAACCTTAGCCAACTAAGATCAAACCCATCCCCTATCCTAGGAATAACATCAACAATAAACTTTATATCCAGTCCCTCCAAAAACAACTTCTCATCTGACAGTCTGTTTTGCTAAAAAGGTCAACTAGCGAGTTGCATCTTTTTGGGGTGAACTCGAGAACAATGTTATCTTGTAGAATAGAGGTCGCGATAGGAATCAACAAAGATGCCCAATATGATGGGATGCTAGAAACATTTAATAGCCAACTGACCACCACCGCACAATCCGACTCTACTACCAGTCCAAACTCATTGCTCCACTCGGAATTTTTATATAGATTAATTGCGTGATCAATCACCCTTGCTTCCGCTTAAAGGGAAGATCCACCACCTGAAGGAACCGAGAATGATATCAATAGTTTACCTGAATGATCACGAAGCGCCCCTCCAATACCTCGAGCGATACCAACTGACCTTATAGCTCCGTCAACATTAAACTTCAATTTCCCCATTGGAAGTGGAGACCAAGCAGGATGCATCAATTCCGGTTTCTTCCTCAATAAATCGTAATCCGCACGCGATAAATCAATGATCAGGTCCTCCTTGCTTATCGAGGCATCCGAGAACTTCGCTTTCAACCAACAGGGTACCCGAAGCTTGATAGTAAAGACCATTTGCATCACATCCAGTTTCTTCTCTGAAAATCACCTCGTTCCTATGTCCATATAGTCCAAAAAACCGCTAGCAGAAGTATTCCCCATACCATCCTACAATTCTTATTAACCGGGAGAAGTTCTCTCCAAGCTGTTAAGAATCTTTTCAGTTCGTTTCGCAAGGCGGACGAAATATTCCAAATTGCGAGAAATGCTCCCCATAATCTCCAAGAGACGCTGTAGGAAATAAATAAATGTTCAACCTATTCATGTAACTTCAAACAAAAAGGACAACAGCTATCCGACAGCGAAACAACTCCCTTTTTTTTGCGAGTTCCAATCTAACTGAAACTCTCCGATGAATCACTCACCAAATAAACGCCTCTTGTGGAGTGATCCACTGCCAGATCAACTTCTTCCAATCAACTCCATCTGACCCAAGGGAATAAAAACCTTAACAGCCAATTTCACAGTATATTGACCATCATTTGTTCCAAGCCATCTCAATTGATCAGATGATATCGAAGGGTTCTCAAATTCGTTCTGCAGGCAAAGCATTGCGGAACATTGTTCGCGTTACCAGTCAAATATTGCCCTTCTAAATTGGATGCTCCAACTCCATCCAATCTCCGATTTAGAACCGAAATCCGCCACATAACCTGCTATGTTTAATGGTCCAACTCCATCCCATCTCCGATTTAGAACCAAAATCCGCCACACAACCTGCTTTGTTTATTGCAAGCGTGAACATCCTAGGAAATGCAATCATAAGGGGTCGACTACCAATCCGAATGTCCTGCCAAAATTTCACCCTCTTGCCATCACCAACCTGAATTTTCATTTCACCTCTAATCTTCGAGTCACCTACCTCCCCATTAAAATTGCTTACAATTCCTTTCCATATCCATGACGATCCTTGGGTCTTCGGACAAGATAGGAGGACAAAGGAAGGGTCAAAGTTATATTTGGCTGCCACGACTTGTTTTCAAGGACTCAAACATTCCAGACCAAAACGCCAACACCATTTACCAAGTAAACCCATGTTTTGTGCAAAAGATCGATAATTCCCAAACATCCGTATTTGACCAGCATACAAAGGTTGCTCCAACAGATCCAATGAATGCCCTTTTTACCAGGCGCCTCTCCCCATAGAAATATCGAGATAATACTGTTAAGTTTTTAGTACACTGACATTGGTAATTTGCATAACGATAAGTAATATACCAGAAGATTGGTTAGAACAGATTTAACCAACGATACTCTACCACCAAATGACAATGTTAAAGACTTCCACCCCGTTAATCTATTCTCTACTTTGTCTATTACAGGCTCCAATATGGATTGGGCATTACGCTTTGCCCTTAAAGGGAGGCCTAGATAATTTGTTGGCAGCAAACCATCCGAACACCCAATACGGGAAGCCCACAAGCAGAGATTATGTGCTTCAGTATTGATTCGAAAAAGCATACATTATTTCACGTTCAATTTAAACCCCGATGAAAGTTCAAACACCCAAAGAACCTTTTTCACATTACAAATTTGCATTTCCCCTGCTCCACAAAACAAAATAAGATCATCGGTGTACTGTAAATGGGAAATCTCCAAACTGATTGCTCCATTTCCTACTATACAGCCTGAGAACAGCCTCTTATATATTGCCTTCTCGATCATCAAGTGTAACGCTTCTCCTACAATATTAAAAAGCAAAGGCGAGAGGGGACACCCCTGCCTCAGACCCCTAGCCAACTTGAATCTTTCATAATCTGAATGAGGAAATCCCAATCGACGGTATCGTATGCTTTCTTAAAATCAGCCTTGAACACTACACCCGATCTTCCACTCCTCACTGAGTCAATTACTTAATTGGCGATCAGAGAGCAATCGAGTATTTGGCAACCAGGGATAAATGTGAACTGTGAATTGCTGATTAGTGAGCCTAATACCAATCTTAGACGGTTGGCTTGGGTAGAAAAGGCTTAGACGTAAAATAATAGGAAAAAAATATCTCGCACAACTAAGGGCAAACACACTTTATTGATGTCTCATATATCAATATAGTTGTAGCACAAGTAAAGTTAACACTGCCATTTAAGAAGAGACGCAACTAACACAGACAACAATTAGTAGTACCAAGATCATAAGCAAAATTGTGACAATAGTTCCACAAGGACCGTGGAATCATATTCATCAAATAAATGAGTATACTCTACATGAGCTTCCAGGAAAACATTCTATCTTTAATCCTATTTGGGGTGGAATTAATCACCGTTAAAAATGCAACTTTTTGACTACTTCCATTTAGGCTAAAAATTCCATCACCAAACAACTAATTACAATACCCTAGAATTTATTACAATAGCCATTAAAGCCATATGAAGCCACTTTAAAGCAAAAGAAAACAAAATGCAAGATTGACACCAAGTAGCAAAACCCATATCATTATAAAAAAACAAGCAAAGCCCATATTGATTATTATGTTGATTGGTTCTACATGAAAGCAGACTAAAGAACTGTTGTTGACATTCAAAGCAATACATTGCATTGCATGTCAAGAGGAAGCGAGATGAGGGACAATAATTAACCAAAAGTATTTTTTTTACATTCAAGACATTAGCTTCCTGGAAATGTGACAGAGGGCAGCCATTAGAAAAGAAAATGTTACCACAGCACCAGACCAGTAGTCAAAACCTGAAGTAGTTAATTCATTTGATAAAAGCTACAGAAAGAAAAGTTCTCAAAATTGAATAAAATACTTACCAGTCGGGTTACAGCTTTCTTTCCATACTCATCACCATCATCATACACACATTTGAGAGCTACTGGAAGAACTTTCCAGAATTCATTTACAAACTCACTTCCCTCTCGCCTACTATTTTGCAAAATGTCATTAGCTAAATACAGAAAAGAAACCCGCCGTTCTTTCTGGAAAGAGTTAAACAATTTGTCCCATGTTTCAACAATCTGTTTTGCCTTCTTCCGGTGAGTAATACACCAACGAGACAACGCTGAAGAAATGTGAAGGAAATGCATGCTACCAACAATTTGTGCTAGTATATAACAAATAAAAGTTAACTATTAAGTAAAAGTGCTACATTTTTTTGGAAATTTTTGTATTTCATCCAATAACCATTCTTTCTTGCAAGAGATTATCTATTAAGTTAGAAAATTATGCTGACAAACAAGTAACTCTAAATAGTCATACTGCTAACCCATAAATTCAAAATAGTTTGTGGAAATGTTTTGAAGCATTGGCCGACTTAAAAGATTTAACTACTATATATAACAACATTATGCTATCTTTGCGGAGAATCTAGTTACATGACTTTCTTTGAAGACAAAATAAAAGAGCAGACTCAAATTAATTTAAAAATTAATGATGATGACAATAACAGGTCCCCCATAAAACAAACAGGCAATAACATCAGAATCACCAAGAATTCCTAAAAGCAACAATCTATGCCCTCTAAGCACAACGGTAGATCACACATCTCAAACAAAAGAAATTAGTATTTGCAGATAATTTACATAAACTCATTCTCCTTTAAATTTAAATGAAAAATGTTAGCAGTTACTAAAAATATTACATTGCTTGAGCCTTGAAGCTCAATGCATAGAAGAAAAAAAGGCAGAGAGAGACTTCCCTGAGCGACTTACAATGCAATATGAATGTGTATATTTTTGTATAAATGTTGTGTGCGTATATATATATATATATAAGCTTAAGATGTATAGTTATGATAAAACTCTAAAGGGCGATTCAGCTTATAATACAAAACAAGCAAAATTTCCCTTTTTCTTTTCTTGGTCAATATTCATAACTTTCTTACTATCTCATATGCGTTGTTAAACAATGAAATATTGAGAAACATTTGACATCCTGCTTTTATTAGTAAATGCACAATTAAAGAATTGAGAGAATTTCAATCAGACTATTACATTTTGCGTATACTGCCTAACAAAAACATATCTAAACACAAAAAGCATGCACTTGATCAAATGGACCTTGTCTATAAAAGGTTTAAAGAGATTTTGTTGCAAGTGCTAAGGTGTGATGCCTAGTCGCACACCTTAACAATACTGGTTCATATGAAGAGAGAACATTTATATAAAGAAATAAGATGAACAAAAGATTCATGTTCTTCAATTATAAACTTTAGAATACACCAAATTTCAATAATCAGGAGTGTCATTGTAATTATGTAGCACTAATGTAAGTGAAAGACTATGCCAGCATTATTATTTTCTTAATAAGAAACCTCCAGTTAAACTTAAAACTGTAGGATACATTCAATACTTTGTTGCGAATTGTTTAGTTTCGATAGTTTCTCAGTCAGTATCCGCCCATCAAAAGCTTCATTGCTCATCTTGCTGCTTTATGAGCTTTACATAGCCTTCAGAAAACCCCTTTTAATTAAGCAGATTTAAAAGTGAAAGAAAGGTAGCAGAGAAAAACATATTAACATGAAAAAAATGCTTCAAAAATATTCTTCTATCATCTCAAAGAAATATCAAGGAGGCTTAAAATCCCAAATAATGGGGTTTGCTAAAGGCTTCTAGTCAATTGTTAAATTCTATTCAGAACCCATGCCTCAAGTATTAAACAACAATCCAACCCTAAAATCCCCTAATGCAAGTCTATTATTTCAATTTTTCTTAATTTATGATCTCATGCGTTGTACTCGACCATGTTACATATTACATATTCATTTAAAGCATATTAAATTATCTAATTTACAGTTTACCATGCTTTAGCATTAATGATAACAACTTATAGAATTTAATATTCATCATCAATGATATGCCAATAGAAACCTGGTTGGATAAAATGCATCCTCTCTGTGATAACGTTTACCCTCCCCTAATCTTCTTCTCTCTTGCTACGGCATTAATATTGAATTACTTCCCTTCTAGCAAACCTAATCACAATACGTCTCTTGTGACTTTCAAATCTAATTGTTGCCTATTTTCATATTAATTCCCACTAATCAGACTTCTAGATCCAACAATTCAAGTTTCCTTAGGTTGCAATTGAGATAAATCTAAACTAATCCAATAGTTAATATATCCTAAACTGTAACCATAATCCTAAAACATATACAAACCACAAAATCTTTGTACTCAATCCTAACTACCACGGTACCTTTGTAGGCAAAACTGCAAGACTTCCAAATTTATTCCAACAAATATTTTAATGTACGTGCCACAACTCCCAACAAGATTGAATTTCCAAAACACAATACACAGAGACTTTTTAGAGAGCACCAACTCAATATTTTCCCAGAAATGAAATTCAAAATTACTATCGGTTTCTTTCTCTCTCAATGAGTGTATAACCACAAAAGCACAAAACCTTACTCGAGCTTTCAGGAACTTTCACCCCTCTCTAAACCCCACAATGACCACAGAACTAGTCTTATAAGTTATAATTAGTATTCCCACAAAGTAAAGTCGGTGGAAAACACATTTCCAGCTATAGCTTTCATTTTCTCCATATTATAATTTATAAGCAAATGCCTTCATTAATTACCGTCCACCAATTCTATGTATTGCTCTAACGCATTTCTTCTAGTGCTCAATAACATTAGCAAAATCTTTCCAAATTTAAAGTCTGGTTTGCTACTTATAAAAACTAAGAAAACTGCTCGTTGAAACTAATTAGAAAGATCCCATTTTAAACTATTTAATTTTACAAATTATACAAAGAAATAAAAACAATAAACAAGTTTTTTCTTTAAAAAAAAGGAATCGAAAATGTTCCCAATACCAAAATTCTTCACAGAACTAATATCAACTATCAATATTTCGAAATTTTCAATTCCACTTCTACTTAATTCTCTTAGCAACCAAATAGAAACCCTAGGGTTCGAAGAAATCAAAATAGATTCCAACTAATTCTCAAAGTAGAAAGATAATAATAATAATAATAATAATAATAATAATAATAATAATAATAATAATAATAATAATAACAACAACAACAACAACACTTGGGTTACGATAAGAAATAAAAAAAAACGAACCTGAGAGTACTTGGAGCAGTAGAAAATTAGGGACTCCTTTTAGGAAGAGACCATTTGGTGGAGATAGGGAAACCCTAAAAATATTCTGAAGAAGAAACCCTTATTTATTCAATTATTTATTTTTTGGGACAAAACAAGGTATGGGAAAGAGAAAGAACTGAGGAAACCTGTCGTAGTTACTCAAGAATACTATTTTCCGTAATTTCTAAATGATGTTATTTGATTGAAAGTACTAGGCTTAAAGGTGTACAATGTCTTTAAATTAAAAAAAACAAATAAAATTTATTTATTTTTACTGAATTAGATATTTAAATTCATTAAATTCTCTAATCAAAAAAAATAAATTAATTAAATTTTAATTAATTTAACTATTAAATCTTTAAATTTGATATCTATATTTATCAAAATCTCCAACAAAAAATAAATAAATTAATTAATTTTTTAATTAATTTTAACTATTAAATTTTAATAGTTTTTTAAAACTATTACTGCTACGTAAAGTTAACTTTAAATCTAATATATATTTATTAAACTCTCCAATCAAAAAATAAATAAATTAATTAATTTTAACTATTAAATTTTAATAGTTTTTTAAAACTATTACCGCTACATGATACTTTACGATCCGATCACGTGAAATGTATAATTTTAAAAAATATATATAAAGAATTGTTAATATTCTAAAATAACTCTAAAAAGTTTAAAAATAAAAAATAATAAATTTAAAGAAATATCACTTGACAACATTATCGAATCATATGTGACTTCAGCTAATTTAAAAAAAAAAAAGTGTTCAATTTAGTGATTAACATCAATCAAAATGATAAATTGTGGAAATTTTCAAGTTGAAAGACTAAATTGAGTAAAACAAAAATTAGTGAATAATTAATATTTTTCAAACTTTTGAAGACTGTATTTACCTTAAATCAAAATATTAAACTAATAAATAATATTATTTATAATATTAATTTTAATTATATATTTGTATTTAACGCATTTTAATAAAGAATGTGATGTAAATGTTATTATTTGACTTAATTTTGTGGTTTAATTAATGAATAAACAAAAGTGAATAAATGTATATCGTTAAATTATAACGTTGTCGTATGATAAATAATATTAAACGTAATTAACCTGAAATATTGAACGTTTTCTTTTATTGTATAACTTCTCAATCTTATGTCTTTTTTTTTTGTTACAAAGGAAAAAAATTACGCCCCTATGGTCTATCTCTAACCATTGTGAGACCTCCATTGGAGGATCATCGAAGACCACAAAATCATCCTCAAGAGCCAGTCCCATCTTCGAAAGAGCATCGACACAAAAATTGCCTTCGCGGTAGGTGTGTTGGAAGACTAGCAACCGATTCCGTGATTTAAATTCATGAATATCCTCAATAAGAGAGCGGAGAGGGTGAGTTGATATGTCATTTGACTCTAGAAGCCGAAGAACAACTTGTGCATCCACCTCGCATTCGATATCGTAATAACCAGAACTCCAAGCAATGGAAAAATCGTAACGTAAGGCAAAGAGTTCCGTAACAACACTCGAACAAAACCCGAGATGTGCAGCAAAACCCATGATCCACTCCCCCGATGCACTACGAAGAACACCCCTCGTACCTGCAATACCCGGGTTCCCCTGACTTACACCATCCTTGTTCAATTTGACTCTTCCAGCTCGAGGGGGACGCCACATTAAACACTCGGAACAGCGGAACCGCAGGATGGAGGTCCGTGAACTTGCAACTGCTCTTTAGTTAACAATGTCTTTTAGTTTTATTAATTAATAATAATTTTCTTGATAATAAATCTTGTTTGAAATTAATCTTACAAGTCACATCGAAGGAACAACATTCCTAGACAGTATGATAAGCCTAAATACTTTTCTTTCCTAATAGTTTTATTTATAACGATTAGTGTGGTGATAGCTATAAACAATAATAATTGAATAATTAGGAGAATACCTGTGAAGTTAAAATGGGCATGCCTTGTGTTATGAAAGTTTTCGATAATATACTCAAAGAGGGGAGTATTTCTAACAAATGTTGCCGTAAACTCCTTTTATTAGAAAAAGTGTATCACTTGACATTGGTAAAGAGGACTCTTAAAATCATGTAATTAAACACGTGAATTCAAAGACAATCATTGAAAAGAGTGCTAGGACTTGAAATTATTGCCTCGTATTGACCCTTCACCTTTACTATCCGCTTAAAGATACTGACATACTTCAATTAACAAAGAATTATAAAACATAACAACATCAAATAAGTAATTTTTTGTTTTTGATATTGTTTCGTAATATTTAATTTAATTCATGCCAAGTTAAAACATATTTCAAACCATAAGAAAACATAAAATGATTCTATAGTAACTTTTGCTTAATAGAAAATATGTTCTATGTTAACAGCGTCTTTTTGTGGCTGCAAATTATATCTTACACTTTTGTATTTAAAACTACAAACCATTTCATATTGAGTATTAGACTTTTTCTATAGTTTTTATTTTGATAAATATCAAGATTATATATATTTGGATTGTTCTTATGAACTGAAATTAGAAATTCAATGGAATGGTGAGTAATTTAAATAATCTCTCAAACAAGCATTTTAAATATCATATAAATTTATGGTATTATTCTCACAAATTAAGAATCTTGACTAATTATTGTTACTATTATTATTTGATCATTAATTAAATTAAAATATTCACTATTTACTAAAATTATTTTGTCAAAACAACTTAAAGTCAATTAAACATTTTGATTCATTTCGCTATAAAAGGTAGGCGAGTTTGTCACATTCGTCGAGCAATGATAAACACCACTAACGATGAGCGTCATTAATTTAATTTATGAAAATTTAAAATTTTAAATGACTCAACGAATAAATATAAATTAGTTAAAAATTTAAAGGTAAATTATTTAAAATAAAGGATAAATTATACCAGTTACCACTAACTATTCTCTCATTTCATTTTGACCACCATTTTTGAAATTTTATCAATCATGACACTCAACTATTTAAATGCATTCAATTAAGTCACTTGTCGTTAATATTTATCGGAGAAGCTGATGTGGAAGTTAAAATATTTGGTATAATTGTCGAAACTTTTTTTTCGAAGGGGAAAAGGGGGTCTTGTTTCAAAATAATTCTTTGGTGATCGGTTAATGATAAAACGTGGTTCGAGGATTCGCTATCAATTTTTGATTTGGGTGTGATTGGGCCCAAAAACATATTTGTCATTTTAATAAAATATTAATTTTAATTAAAACAACAAACATGTGGTATGTGTTACCAAAATTCGAGTTTTGGAGTCGGTTACTTGTGGGGAAGGATTAGCACCCCCCACAGTGCCCTAAATCGGTACCTAGTCAATTAATTAGTTGTCTGTGCAATGAAATTTACAAGTTCGAGTCTAATTTAATTTAAGATCCTCTAAAAATAATATTCTTTGAATTTTTGGATGAAACATGATAATATATAATATTTCCTATTGAGAATAATTGATCTCTCAAACCTTAAAGCAATCGATTCTTACTCCAATCGAAATAAAGAAATATTAAAATTCCATTCTAAAGTTCACTATTAATTCGAAATAACAACACATAAAATAATTTTAAGAGTGAAAACGATAATATTTAATTATTTCCAATCGAGAATAAATGACCTTTCGTGCCTTAAAACAGTCATTCATTACCCTAATTGAAATAAAGAGATATTACTATTTCGTCTTAAAATTAGATATCGATTCAAGCGAAAACGATAACATCTAATGATTTCCAATTGAGAATAAATGACCTCTCATACTTTAAAACAGTCATTTATTGCTCATGTAACACCCCCAACCCGTACCAGACTCGGATACAAATCTGAGGTGTCACATTAACTTTCCAAAACTTTGACTTTTTGAAATTTGTTGATAATTTAAACTTTTATTTCAATATTAGTGGTGAAACTCTCATACAAAAGTAAATATCGAAAATTTATAATTCACAATGAAAATAAATACTTAATATATTTACATAAAATCAATATAGTATGTTACAAAACTAATCAGAGCATTTCAATTTAAACTTTTATGATACATGCCAACAAAATTACAAAATAATAAGAAACCTACAGTTCAAATCGTTCTGAACTGATATTCTTCAAGTGTATGATGCCTTTTCCTAGATTTACTCCTCGGATCTCTTTGAATCTACGTGTGAAACAATCACACGCTAAGTCGTAGACTTAGTGAGGCATAATGAGTATAAACATATTTAAAATAACTTGCATACAGAGATCAATGTACATTTCATGAAAATCACATATACTGTTACACATGGTTCAATTAATATCACTTTGTTTTATTAGCCCAATGCATATCACTGAGAACTCAAGGTATGTGAGTACATTGAGTTTGTGCACTATAACTGCAGTCGAAATTATCGCGTAGAATTTGCACCGAAGTGCCACGTAGAATATACACCAAAGTGCCACATAGATTTGTCCCAAGGGACCGCGTAGAATTGTCTCGAAGGACCGCATAAAATTGTCCCGAATGACTGCGTAAAATTATCCCGAAGGACCGCGTAGAACCCTTGACTTTTGGCATGCCAACTATACCTCTACTTCTCAAAACATATACTTTGGGCTTTAACCATATGATTATTTCACATGTCATTATTCAAAGTATCTCTTATTCACATAGATCACATTCACAAAGAACATTTTCACATAGAACATATTCATATATATCATATTCACATATTAATAAAATCAAAACATTACTTAAGAAATACAATTTATATAAAACATTATAAAAATATTGCATAATATAAATAAAACTATTTTCGATCGAAAACCTTCGAGGTTGGCTTATCACAAGTCATCCTCATATCTACTATAAAATAATAAATTGCACTCACATTTGCCTCACGTAAGTCTTAAACGAAATCTTTAACTTTCGTTCAATCTCTTTACTACGTCGCTTTGTTCGGTACGCTTTCAATCCAAATATACACACCAACATGTCCAAAATAAATATTGAATCTCAATTAAAGACTAACCAATTAGCATTTACATAAACTAATTAAAACCCCTAATTTAACATTTCAGACTGAATAGTATCGGTACTCTTCTTAAAGTACTGATACTTCTCTTCTATGGTACCGATACCTACTTCAGT